ATATAGACAAAGACAAAGACAGAGACAAAGACACGACACAAATATGTCGACATGGAAAATTCAAAAAAAGTTCAACACAGATTCAGTTCGCACACACCACAAATAATTATATCTTAATATTATATTATCTAGGAATACATTATATGGTTATTCATGTGCACAATATATACAAGGAGTAAATTCATTTTACCCCATTGTAGTTTGGCGCTAGGCCACTTTACCAGCCTATCATTCAAATATAACTAGAAAGCCCCTATGTAGTTTTGGACTAAAGTGCTACTGTTAATTTTTCCATCCAAACTAACAAAAGGTGTAGTACATACACCATTTTTTAGAGTGGGTTTTGCTTTTTGAAAAATTAGAATGAAATTTAATACAATAAAAGGACAAATTTACCCCCATTTTCTCCAAACCTAAAATTAGATAAATATGTTAATTAAAATAAAATAAAATAAAATATAATTAAGAATTGATCTAAAATATAAAATATAAGATAAACAATAATTAAGAATTGATCTAACATGTACTTAAATTAAAATTAGATTAACATGTTAGAAATGATAATGAATAATTAAGAATTTAGCATTAATTGTGATCCAAAATATAATTAAATTGAAAAGTTAGTAATTACAATAAATAGTTAAATATTTAGGACTAATTGTGATTTAAAATATAATTAAATTAAAATTATAATAAAAACTTAAGAATTTATTAATTGTGATTTAATTAAATTAATACTAGACATTATAAATTATGTGTATGAGAGATGAGAGAGAAAGAAACTACCAAAAAATATAAAGTTTGAGGGTATTATAGTAATTTCACATCTATAATTAATGGTGTTAACGGTTGCATTTTAGTCCAAAATTACATGGAGGGCATATTACAACTTTTAAAAGACATGGGATAAAGTGCTATCAAGATATACCATAGGGAGGTAAAATGGATTTTGCCCTATATACAAAATTAAATAATTTATATAGGTTGTTTTGGGAACCACCTAAAATAGCCAAAAAACGTAAGTTACTACTAAAAAGTCAAGCTCTTCTTTCTACTTTTCTACACGTCTATTCGTAAAAAAACTAAAAAGCCAACTAAAATTGCTACTTCCCAAAACAACCCTAAGTAAATCTTGTATCTAACTCTTTATATGAATTTTTGGACTACTGAACCATAGTAGTTCAAAATCAAACAAACTATAGCAAACATATATAATTACGATTTGTCTCATCCTCTTTAGCCATCTACTAATATATTTACATATCTTTTTCATTTGTCATTTAATTTTATGTGAAACTTCCATAAGATTATTCTTAATAACTATAAATTTTTTAAGGGTACAAGATATTTATATCAAATTTTCAAATTTTGACAATCAGATGTTAGCAAATGTCCAAGAACTGTTAGTCTCAAGCTTATATTTTAATGATAGACATGGACAAGAAGTGACAGGAACGTCAGATTGCAAAATGAGTGTCAGACGTGTATCTGAAATTAAGATTTTTATTTTTAATTATGGACATGAAAAAATGGCTACGGGACACATGTCCAAGAAGTGCCAATGTCCAACATGTGTCAGTATTATAGCGACCCTGGTTTGAATTCGACCCGTTGAGGTTTTGGATCCGGGCGTCTTTGTTTTTTTTGATGGTTCATGTCTTGCTTCTACTCATTGTTTATTGGGTTTGGTTATTAGGGTGTCTTGGTTGTGTTGGGAACATGTTGGTAACTTGTTTCTCAAATTGTTGTCATCCAAAATTTTGCTTCTGCGCTCGAGCGGTCATTGTGAACTTCCAGCACTTTTGCAGGTCTGTAGAGAGAGATACTGGGAGTTGTCATTCTTCGCTCGAGCGGTCATTCTTGTGCTCGAGCGGTGTTCGCTCGAGCGATTTCTTGTGCTCGAGCGGTGGTCATTTGCCTGCCAAACTTATGAGAGTTTGTATTCTACGCTCGAGTGACACTTCTTGCGCTCGAGCGGCCACACTTTTTGTGTCTGGACACTTGAGGGTCACTTTTTGCACTTGAGCAGTCCGCGCGTCTATATAAGGCCATAGTAGTGCGTAGTGCGTTTAAAAAGTCACTTTTTGCTTTTCTCTCTCTCCTTTTTCGCGAGGGCTTCCTTTTGACCTGAGCAGATCGTGTTTTCGTCGCCAGTGGATTTTTGACTTCTCTCCCCTTCGCTCCAAGAGGTCCCTATTCTTGAGCTTCTTTTCAATACCTCACTATAGATAGACTTGTGGTAATTTTTATGACATTTAAAAACATAGTTTATTGTTGGTTTTTGTTAAAAAGAATATGGGTGGACTTGGACATATATTGGTGAGTTCGTGGGTTGTGTGTATAATTGGTTGTGGGTAATAAATCATGTTTAGAATATAAATTGGAAATGTTAGGTATTTTGTTTATTGATTTGGGATATTAAAGAGAAGTGTAATGTTAGATGGAAATTGGGTTATGATGTGGTTGTCTAGGAATAATTGGGGTTTTGGATTAATGTTGGTAGACGTGGCCATTGTGGTGTTTGTTGGGATTTAGAGTAGTAAGGTTTTATTTTCAAAACAAAATGGAACTAATTACCCCTTTTTATAAAACTTGAGAGTTTATGATGAACGAAAATGTAGAATTACCTAAGGGTGTGTATTATTTCGGATTATGTAATTGGCATCTAGAGTTTGTCTTTGGCCATCGGTGGAAGATGGTATTGATTGTTGTTAGATGTATGTCATGAGTGCTATTGTAGATGGGCTATGTGATGTAACACGATGTGTTGTCGATGATAAATGAACATTGTGAATAGACAATTCCATTGTTGAGTTATGAATTATGTTGTTAAAGAGGTAATTGGAACGCTTGTAAGCGTTGTTTCCGTTGAGAGACTATTGTTGAATATTTATGGTCTTGATGTTTAGTACCCCATGATGTGTTTGTGAATGTTTGAAATAAAGGAAAACCCGTGTGGAACAGTGGTTCGCGGAGTATATTTTAAAAGAAATGAGTTAATGTAATTAACTGATAGTGATTGTTATGGTGGTGATCGGACTAGGTGTATGTATTACACCGTGTATTATTGATGTTGGTTAGCGTGATTATATTTTATTGTGATGATGTTTGGGGGTCTATTACCCGCCGTGTTGAGCCAATAAAGTGTGGTGCCTTGACAGAGGTTTTCTCGTACCTTCCACTTTGCGCCTAGTAAAGTATGAAAAAGGGGTCCATTTCCCGCTGTATCTTAGCCGGCAAAGCATGGCGAATTGTGATAGGTTCTGCGTTCCCTTCCGGTTTACGGTCGGTAAAGTATGACCTAAGGAGCACCTCCTTCCGGGTGACGCCGGTAAAGTGTTATGCGTTATTGGTATTGTTGAATTTGCCATCCGTGCTGTAGGCCGGTGGAGATGGAATTGATAGTATGTATTACTTCACTTATCTCGTTTTGGATATATATATATATATATATATATGTGTTGTCGGTTTGCATATTGTGGAGATGAGATTGGTAGTATATATTACTTCGGTTATCTCGTTTGAATGTATATATGTGTTAACGGTTTCATACCAGTCTTTTTTTAAATCCTTGAGCCTATGGTCAGGGAAGATTGTAGATATATGTTGGGATGTGAAGGCTTGTGGTGTATTGAGAGGTCGGATGGGGATTATGATTTGCATGTGGGGTCATATTTTCAGAACGGTTGTTTAAGTGATTTTTTTGTTAAACATGGAAAGTTTTATCAAAGAAAGAATGAGGTTTATAACATTTTCTTTTGGAAGTAATGATGAGAATATGAACGAGAAGAAATGATTTTATACTGAATTGTGTCAAGAGAAATGTTTTGAGAAAAACACAGTTATATATGCATATTTTGGATATTAAATGTCACACTACTTAAATGGTATGTCTTGATGAATTCATGATCATTTTTATCTATATGTTGTGATTGGTTAGGATCTTTGGAATCTCTACTGGGCTTAGTGCTCATCCCACATGTTGATAAACTTTTTCAGGTACAAGGCTGGGGGAATCGTGTATGATTTGAAGTCTTTTAATTGTTGGCCACAGGGCCCTTTACTTGTTGGCCGTGTACCATGTATTGTATAAGGGTAAATCTCTTTTGTTTTATTTATTATTATACAATGTAAGCCTAAGGGCATTGTAAGATGTCTTATTTATATGATCATGGTTGTCGTAAGAGAATGTTATTATTTATTCCTGTTCTTGTTCTCAACTAAATAGAATGATTATAATTGGATTTGGTAATGTACTCGAATAATAAAAGTTGGGGCGTGACATGTATTGTCTGACATGGACACGTCACATTCTTAGAAGTGTCTGTTATTCTTATAAGACAACTGTAAAGTTAGGATGCCTAGGTTCAGATCCATTTAACCTAAACACAGAACATGGCTTATTAGCTAGATTGAGTGTATATGAAATATACCTAATAGCATAGGCATTTCTAAGAAGGTGGTGTGTCGTGTTGGGCACCATGCCTGACACTAACACGACATGACCCTTGTTGGACAATTCTCAACACTATCAAACAAAATGTCAAAACATGTCTTAAATTTTTAAAAAAGTTTCTAAACTCGAATACATCTCAGACATTTGAAAAACATGTATCTATCATTTAGACACATATGAAGCACATTACACTCCACAAATTTGAATAAAATAACTTCGAATTCAATGATAAAAGAAAAACAATGTAAATTTACACTAATTCTCTTCTCCTCATTTAGACATTAGAAATTAGTGTTACATTGTATTTTGTTATTATCTTTGAATTACAAATTTATTTACATGACAAATACATTTTGATCAGAGAAAGTCAATTGTTAGTATACATGACATAATAATTGTTTATTCTTATATATAATATATAATAAATATATAAACTATATATTTCGTAAATATCCCTTACATATCGTGACCTGCATTTTTTAAGTAAAAAATCATGTCAACATGTACGTGTTGTGTCACGTATCCATGCTTCTTAGTAACAAATAATTCCTACATGCAAGATTTACTCATTGATTATTCATCACATAATAATTTCTTCCAAAAGAAAAGCGTGTCAATAGCAAGCAATGAAAGGGTTCCTCTCCTTTCAGCCTAACTTGCCCTTTTAGATATGCGGTCAACAATTCATACTCACATTGATGTCTTGCAGCCATGGTTAGTTGACATGGCCGTTAGGTCTTCAAGAGCAAGACATGGGAACGTGGAAAATTAACTATGTTAATGAATATTAAAAAATACATTTATCTCTGTTGGGTTTCACTTGCCTGTGCACACATTCTAATCTAATTATACAAACTAAGGTGGATATATGTTCTATACAGCCTTTGATATTTCCTTTCCAGTATTAATATTACAGAACAATCTACTCAATAATCATTAAAAAAATATTAAAATAGCAAAAGGAATTACATATGAAGGAAATAAAAAATATGGCAACATCAACAAATCGAAACAAGCATCAATTGGGTAAAATGTGTAGCCAGTTGATCATGATTCCACGGCCTTCCCCTCTTCACATGTGTGGGACCACCATATAAGAGGAAGGGCTGTAGAAGTGCATTCCTAGATATATATTACTAATACTATGATCTCACAATTCATACAATCGAATACCAACTTTCTCTGATTAGTGTGCAAAGACTAATTATTTTGATTCAAGAAACTAATCTTAAACAAGTAATAACTACTGATAGCAATCATGAAACCTCATTGAATCACAAGAACTGAGAAGGGGAGGCAGACCTGCAGAGTGAGAGCACTGGTGTGCTTGGTGACCAAAAAATTGGTGAGATTCACAAAATATGCCAAGGCAGAATTGAATAGCAGATACCAGATGATCCAAATATCATCTCTTGCAAGGGCTAGGGTGATACCAACTACATTTTCTTCCATAAAGAGTGTTGCAGGAAGTAGAAGCACAACAGCTATTGGGGCCATGTACAAGAGGAGGTTCATAGAATTCAGCTTTTCCCTGAACACAAGTATAATCCTTTCAGAATGAATTCAACCGCGAAATAAATAATCTCAAATTAAATTGCATTGCAAAAGTAAAAACAGAAGAGCAAATGATTTACCCTTCAGAAGAGAGCAAAATCCCTTGAAGCACCGATTTAAGTGCCCTTGCAGCCGTAGCACCAACACACATTAGAAATCCAAAAAGATGGAAGCTTGGCTCACCCTAATAAATAAATAAATAAATAAGGGATAAAAAGGAAGGAGAAATGAAAAAATTGATAAAAAAAAAGAAAAAGAATTGATACCCCGCTGGCGATGATGACACCAGTAACAACAGGAATGAGAGTGAGATAAGTAAGCCAAGCCTCCCTCTTGAAGGTAATGAGATAGGCGAAGACGGCAGTGAAGAAAGGGGTGGTGGCACCAATGGCCTGATTGAAAGAGACGGGGAGAAAGCGAAGAGAGATGTTACCGCTAACAACAGAGGCACAAAAGACGAGGCTGAGTGCGGAGATCTTGAGGAATTGGACTCGAGATCGGATGGTCTGCATGGGGACCATCTTCAACCAGGCAATGGCGATGTAACTGAGGAGAGAACAAGCAGTCATGTGGCACATCGTTAGGAAGATCGGGTACTTGAACCCATAGTTGCTCAGCAAGTACTTGTTCAGCAACAAAACCCCTATGTTTGATGAGTACCACGACGTCACTAGCCCCATCGTGAACACCCTGCTCCTTCCCTTCATTGATGACATTGTATTATTATTATTATTATGATTGTTAATCAATCCAATCCAATTCAATTCTCCTCTAGGGCAGGGCAGGGCAGGGCTTCTTCCAAATTCAAATCCACACACTAGATGAGACAATCATTAGATTAGATCTGCCTACTAGGGTTGGAGAGAGAAACGAATGAAGGAGGAAGACGAATGCCAAGACGAAGACAGATCTCAAGACCATTAGTGAATGCAGAGAGAAAAATTGATCACAGACGAGGAGGATTGGAAGACAAACTGTGTGAGGTATATACAACACAACAACAACAACAACAATAGAGAGAGCGAGCGAGAGAGAGAGAGAGAGAGAGGTATGTGTTTTTATGTGAGAAATTAAAAGGGGTGTCGAGTTTTGAGGGCGACCGACGACGATTTTGTCCTCTGCAAGCAAAATAGAGAGAGAGCCAGAGAAATTTTTTTTTTTTTTTTTTTTTTTTTTTTTGAGGTAAACGCGCACCTCGATCCTCTCTATGCTTACATTTTTATATGGAAAAGACTATGGGTTGTGTACATGTGCCCTTTATAATTTAAGGCAAATTTGAATCAAAATAGGCAGAAAAACAAAATATATAAATAGGAGAATTCTGTCATGCACACTATTATTTTAGTGGTTGTTTGGTATTAGCACATTGACTCCGTTTAGTAGACTTATAGGAAAGTGATTATAAATTATAATTTAATTAATAGATTATAAATTATAACTTTAAATATAGGATGTGTACATGTGCCCTTTATAATTATTGAAGGAATTAAGGCAAATTTGAATCAAAATAGGGAGAAAAACAAAATATATAAATAGGAGAATTCTGTCATGCACACTATTATTTTAGTGGTTGTTTGGTATTAGCACATTGACTCCGTTTAGTAGACTTATAGGAAAGTGATTATAAATTATAATTTAATTAATAGATTATAAATTATAACTTTAAATATAAGCTATTAAGAGCATTTCCAACGGTGATTCAAATTTTTTACCAAATCTGAGATAAAAATGACCTATTTCACCAAATTTGATACCACTCACTCCAACGGTTCACCTTTCACCAAATCTATTCCGGGACAACCGGGTGGTCGACCGGCCGGTTGACAGGTTAGGCAAATTTTTTTTTTTTTTTTTTTTTTTTTGCGAATTGTTTGAACTTTTTTTTGAACTTTCTGAACTTTTTTCGGGACGACCGGGTGGTCAACCGGCCGGTTGACCGGTTAGGCAAATTTTTTTTTTTTTTTTTTAACGGTTTGAACTTTTTTTCCTGAACTGTTTGAATCTTTTACTTGTTGACCGGTTGGTCAACCGGCCGGTCAACCGGCTGGTCGACTCGGTCCCCCTTGCAACGGTCACCAACAGTGTTTTGGTGAAATTAATATTTCGTCGTCAGTTTGATAAATTTTTTGATGAAATCTCAATTTGATATTCATTTGGTACCACCATTGGAGCTGTGAACAGTGGTTTTTTCATAAAATTTGAATTTGATATCAGTTTTGGTGAACCATTGGAGATGGTCTAACTTGTTTGGTGCAGTTGTGGGATTATGAATTTAAACAGCAGAGTAATGTTTGGTTGATAAGCTGTAAAATAATTTTTTACTGTGTAATTGTCCTTTTTGCCCTTATATGATATAAAAATGATTATTTTGGCATTTTCTTTTAGTTTTAATTTTAAAAAAGTTATTTCATTAATAAAAGTTAATATAATTAATATTACAAAAATTATTATTTTCATTAATAGTATCAATTAGTATAAAATTATTTCATTTTTTCATTACAAATTAATTAATGTCAATTAATGACTTAATTAGCATCAATCACTATGTTTGGTTCTATTTTTCTAAAAACAGTTTTCAGAAAATTCTACTTTCTTATTTTTTATGTTTTTTTGTTTTTACTGAATTTTTTTAATATTTTATGCAAATTTTTTACTTTTTAGACACACCTAACATAAATACACCTAAAAAGTAAAAAAATTGTAAAAAAAAAATCTTTTAAAAATTCACTAAATATCTAAAATATAAAAAAAATACAATAATTCAGTATATTTTTTGTATTTTTATGTATTTCTTAATTTTTTAAAATATTTTTTCACATTTTTTTTACTTTTTAAATACATCTAAGTAAGGTACATCTAAAAAAGTAAAAAAAAATGTTTAAAATTTTAAAAATATTCACTAAAAACAAAAAAATACGAAAATCAAAAAACTCAGTTTTCAAAAAACTTAATCTAGAAAACTCACAACAAACACACTGAATACTATCCTTGTGTTATTTAGGGGCTATTTTAAGTGTTTATTTAATTTATGCTTTAAATATTATCCTTATGTTGTTGTAAGTCATCATGAATTGGTGTATAGGCCATAGCTTAAAATTTATTTGAGTTGATAGTCTTTTCTTTCAATTTTTTTATAGCTTTCATCCGTGTTTACACTATTGTAATCACCCACTTTCCATTAGCACTCTGCAATCTCCCTCAATTTTTTGTTTCTTTTGATTAAAAAGTTAGATCAAATGAAAGATTATCGCTCAAGGCATAAGAAAGAGACCATTCATGCTAAATGGTTTAATCTCTTCGGATGTTCATTACCAGGGCATTACATCTCTCTTATGCTAAATGCGACCTCTTGTTTGATACTTTTCTTTATCACTGGTGCATTGCTTCTAAATGACTAACTTCCTAGTTAGACCTTTGGAAATCACAAAGAAAATGTTCATTATAGCTTATTATCGAGTTTGGATTTAGAGTCATTATTGCTCATTTTGGGTTTGACTAGGCATTATCGCTCTTTTCGAGTTTGAATATCCATTATTGCTCATTTGGGTTTGACTCGGAATTCATTATCGCTTGTAAATAAGTTTGATTCTTTCTTTGTAATTTCCCCCATAGAAAAGGGCTTGAAAAACTTATTTCTCTGGTTAAGTCGTGCTTGCTATTCTTTATTACTTTTGGACTTAGTGGATGTAATCATCACTTTTGGAAAAAAAGGAAGAAAAGATAAAAAAATGGAAAGGTAATGTAAAAAACGCTAATAAAAAGAGGTAAAAAGGTAATAAAATTAGGTTAGGTTCAATCAGATGTTATATTGAGCCTATTGCATCTTGAATCATTGTATACTTTTTAGTGATGTTTAAATGATCCACGAAGCAATGTCTATCTTTTGTTTAATTTATTAAGCTCTTATTCTATTGTTTCTAAGATCATCACGCAACAAATTTGCTACAATTGATGATTTGTGAATCGAATTTACTCCTCCCTTGATCATCTTCACGATAAGAAAGGGCAAAGAGGATAAATATCTCTTGGAAATACTCTATTTTTGCTTTGTGGCAGCAGAATATTTCCCAGAAGCAATGGCCGTTCGACCATCATTCGGTACAGCCGACCACTTTTCAAGGCCAACCGGCCACCTATTTTGTACAGACAGTGGCATTTTTACAGTAGAACAGCGCAGAATTTGAGGCCAAAACAGAATAATTTTTTGACTACAAACAGAGCAGATTCTGGCAGCAAACAGAGAGGTTTCTGGGAGGATTTTCTCAGTTATGCGCATGTGGCTCCTCGCCTCCCGTTCAAGTCCATTAAATTAGCACTTTATTATTAGCATGTTGTAATTAATTAGTGGTAACATTAATTAGTGAAGTTTATTCATTTGGGGTTTGTAATAATTAGCTTAATTAGGATATACATTCGGACCCTCTTGTACGAGGGTAAACTTGTAATATTTTGTATGTCTTCTAACCCTCATTTTTTTCTCCATTTTATTTATGTGCTTATCGTGGTAGCATCATATTTTTTCATTTCATATCATTGCCATGCTTAATTCATCACTCTAACATTGTTGTCATTTCTTACCTACTTGAATATGTGCGTTGTCACATGTTTTGAGTTGATCCATATGACATGTTAAAATAAACCGAACCTAGCAGTTGCATTTTGTTGTGTTGCATTAGTCACTTGCATATTAGAGCATGCATTTTTCTAATTATTTGCTTCTCTTTGGCTTGTCTCGGTTGAGTACTAAGTGAGCATTTTTTGCTTTAGCATGTTGCATAAGTGTTTGTGTTGCCATATCAAGCATACTACCATGAGGCTAAGTGCTTATTTGAAATAACTGTTTGAATGCCTGTGGATGAAGGCTATTTCGCTTAAATTCGGATGATCTTGATTAATGTATATATGAGCTTGCTTTTTCAAGTAGCACATATTCAAAACTTTTTTTATTTATTTTTTTATTTTTTTAAAACAAACATGAAATCAAAGCATTCCAAAATGGGTGATGTAGTCTATACTTGAGTGCCTTATATAGTAAGTTAGCATAATAATCAGAACATAAGCATATATTGTCCATAAAAATCACATCATGATTAGTAGAGGCCGATCTTTGATCGGGTGAGTGGGGTGCTCAATTCATGACCTTTCCCTCTCATATCTAAGTTCCCGAGCCGAGACACTTTGGCTATGATGGACAGGGGGCCTTTGACATGAGACACGAGTTTCCTAAATTTCTTAAAAATATTTAGGTGGCGACTCTGAAATCAAGCAATGTAGTCCATTTCTGGCATCTCTGATGATAATTGAATTTTCTAAAGAATTGCCAAATTTGAACTCTCATTTGTGTTTTTTTGTTTCACATTGCACTTATGAAACCAGATTTAGAGCCACAAGAGTCTAAACTGTAGGGTTATCATATTCGATGAGACTAAACCCCTCCGAGGAGCACGAAAAACCAGCTACAGTTTTTGCTACTTTGGTGGGGAAATTAGAGAACTCTACTTGAACTTCATAATGTGGCATTTTATTTACAGATATATGTTCATTGCATTGTATTTGCATGGTGCTCTTCAGTCACTGTGTTTTTCATTTGCTATTCTTAGATGGCATGTTGGAGGCTTGCCTAAAAAGCTTGTGAAAAAGCTGGCTAGTCGCGAGCTCTGCCATGTTGGAAACACAACCCTTGGATCTGGATTATCGCCGTAACGCTTGATCCTCCTTGCACTTCTCGGTGTTAGATGTGAGAGGTATATTGAGTAATCTTGCTGAAGTATCTATTTGACCATTCAGCCTAGTACATATAGTAAAGCCATAGTAATTGTTCCAAACATAGGACATGATGCTCACCCGTATGCAGGTTTTTATGAAACCACTTGATTAAAGTAGTGAAACCCTAGATCATGCCAAAAACTAGGACAGGGTAATCCTACCTCCTCATAGGAGTGTTTTGGCTCTTTTTACCTGGTATGTGCTTTATAGTGAAACTGTACAGGAATGCATCATATCAGTGGTACAGTTGATGTCAGTTTATGGGGCAGAATTCAGTGGGAAGTATAGTTCTACAACTATGATCACGTCTGTTTTGATAGAATTATGGCTGAGGTGCTGTCTGATTTCTGATTTTGCTAGGTAGTCTAAAACCATAGCTTTAGAAAGTTCTGATATCTCTTAAATACTCTA